GGCATTCCTGATTTTTGGTGTGGCCCCACCCAAGGTGGCCCGAGCTTTGACAGTGAGAACGTGTCAACAGATACGGACCACTAATTACCCAATTAGTTAAACCAGAACAGTTCTAGCTACTACTTAACTTTAAAGATCTTATATTAAAAGAGAGAGTTAGTAGTTATTCCCTTTTATTAACTAATAATTCCTAATAAAGTTTAGACTCTCTTACTTAGACCTACTAGTTAGGAGAGTATATTAAAGCCTTTATATAGTATATTAATAGTATTATTATTAATAGTGAATTTATTACTAAGTAGTACTATATATATACACTAGTATTTAGTTTAATAATTATTAAATTCTAAACTATATATTTTAATATAAGATTTAATATATAGAAGCTTTAATAAAAAGACTTAGAATTATATAGTGTCTATAGAGTATATAAAAGTATCTCTATTTATAGTAGTATATTATATAGTAAAGAGATATTAAGAGTATTAGTAATAGTAGAGTATTAGAGTACTCTTCTAAGTATTATAAATTAAGAATATATAAAGCAACTAGGAGGCGGCCTAAGGAAGCAACTAGGTAAGAACCTATAAGTCGTCTAATTAGAATATAAGGTTATATAACTAGATTACTAAGGATTATAGTAAAATAGTAATAATCCTATAAGTACTAGGATTATAAGGATTACTAGTAATCTAGAGTAATCCTAAGAATATAGTAGAGGATAGGATAGATATATAAAGAAAGGGATTTCTAATAAATAACTAGACTAGATCTTTATTAATTAATTTAAATAATAGTTCTACTATTAGAAGATATCTCCTAATATAACTTATATTAGAATAACTACTTATATATACTTATATATTTAAACTAACTCTTTACTTAAGAAGTAGACTAACTATAGATTAAGAATAAACTACTATTATATTTTAATTAGTCCTATTTAGTAAGTTACTTTTAAAATTATAAATAATTAACCTTTATAATATTTACTACTAATAGTATAATAACTAATTTAAATAACACTATAGTATAAATAAGATAATAGATTAATATACTTACTATTTAAATCTAGACTATAAAGAATACTAATAATAGAACTTTTATTTTACTTAAGTTCTTTAAACCTAACTTATTTAATAGAACTAAAGGAGATATTTAGAACTTCTTAACCTAAGTAAAAGTCTATTTATATATAAATACTTCTATTATTAACCTTATAGTATAAATACTTTATATTAAAAACCTCCTTATAGAAAAAATAAAAGAGTAGTAAGAGTTAACTCTTAAAGACTACTTTAATAATAAAGAACCTAAGGATAAAACTATATAAACCTTTAAATAATATAAATACTTTAAAGAACTACTTTAAATTACTTTTAAAGACTTAAATAAAATATATACTACTATATATAAACTTAAAGTCTTTAAATAGACTAGATTTACTTAATACTTTATAAGGGAATTTAAGTATATTTTAAACTATTTTATATAGGATAATAATAGTATAATAGAGCTACTTTATAATACTCTATAAGAGGATATAAAAGATAAAATTATAAAGGATAATTAACTTAATACTTTTAATAAATTTACTAATAAAATTATTAAAGTTAATTATTTTATAAAGGAGTTTCTAAGAATAATAAAAGAATAAAGTATAACTTTAATACTAAATTCTTTAATAATAGTAGTAAGTTTAAAACACTATTTAACTTTTAAAAAGTAGGGCTTAGAGATATAATTAAATATAGTAAAGTATAATAATATAGAAGAAGAAAATAAACCTATATAATAAAGAAAAAGGAGACTTAATAGAGTAGCCTTAAAGATAAGACTAATAGGGGAGGAGAATAATATTATAAATTAAGAATATATATAAAGTAACTAGGAGGCGGCCTAAGGAAGTAACTAAGTAGGAACCTATAAGTCGTTTAGTTAGAATATAAAATTATATAACTAGATTACTAAGTATTATAATAAGCTAATAGTAATCCTATAAGTACTAGGATTATAGGGATTACTAGTAATCTAGAGTAATCCTAAGAATATAGTAGAGGATTAAATAGATATATAAAGAAGGGGATTTCTAGTAAATAGTTAGACTAAATCTCTACTAATTAATCTAAGTAATAGTTCTACTATTAGGAGATATCTCCTAATATAACTTATACTATAATAACTACTTATATATACTTATATATTTAAACTAACTCTCTATTTAAGAAGTAGACTAACTATAGATTAGGAATAAGCTACTATTATACTAGGCTTTATACTAGTGTATAGTAGGGTTTTAAAGCTATTTAGTATCCTAGATCCTAATAGTCTTTAATAGATATAGTCTAACACTTAGTCTACTAGAATAACTATAGTTAGTATTAATAATACAGTAGGATTATATATATTATATACTAATTCTAACCCTTCTATTATACTAAATAAAAGCAATAATATACTATTAAATAAGCCTTTAAGCTTAATACTAGTAAGATCTTTATTATATACACTACTAGTAAAATATTAGAAAATATTAGAAAGTATACTAAAATTATTAGCTTTAATACTACTTAGTAAGGCTATTTATAAGTATATTAAATTAAAAGAAATAGTAATATAAAGTATAAAAGTTAGAGTCTTAAAAGAAGTCTTTATTAATATATAAGAGAGGATAAAGTATATAATAATAGATATTTAATTAGACTTATTTTTAAATAATATAATTTATAATAGTAATAAACTAGAGTAATATAGGACTAGTATAGTAGCCTAGAAGATATAATCTTTTTAATAGATTATTAATAAGAATTAAATTAAACTATAATATTTATTAAAACTAGAAGAATTAGAGTTATAAGAATATATTTTCTACTTATATTATTTCTAATAAGAATAAATTTATATTAACTATTAAACCTTCTTTTATAATACTATACTAATAAAAGTATAAGGTTATTACTACTTTTTACTTCTTTAATTACCTTACTTTTTACTCTTTACTTTTATCTTTATAGTCTCTATAGCCTCTATATTCTTATTCTTCTACTAAAAGCTCTTTAATTTACTCTATTAAACTATTATTATTATTATTATTATTAATAATAGTATTAAATTAATACTTAAAATACTTACTATTATTATTATTAGTATTCTTAGTATTATTTTTATCCTTTAAAATAGTAGTAGTAATAGTGTCTCTTTTAGTTAGAATTTTATAGTATTCCTCTTATTATTCTACTATAATTTTCTCTTATAGAGCCTTTAAGTTAAAAGTATTAAAGTCTAATAATCTTTCTTTAATCTCTTCTATTTTCTCCCTGAAGCAGTCTTTGAGAGAGACGGGCAGTCCGTGCAGGGGGCCGCGCACAACGCTCGAAAGGCTTCTAACTGTTCAAACGGTTATAGGATCCTACTAATCGGGAAACAGCTTGACAAGCCACACGTTTGAAACGGAACGAACGGCCTAACTAATGGTGTTGAAAATGCGCATGTATGTATTGGTCGGTCTTCCCCAGCTTCAGCGGTACAGGGCGGCAAAGCATCTTGAACTGACACGGCACAGGCTCACTACTCGATGATGGGATTGTCAAGCTACTTCCACCGGTGACCCGAGCGCTTCTTCAGACCAAAGAGGCTTTGGAGAAGGCGGGACACAGCGTCATTGAGTTCTGCATTGGTTCTGTCACAACAACTCCTTTTAGGCGCGATGCTGATCATGTTCGGTAGTGATGATCCGCTGCATTTAGATGGCTTAAAGCCCGCACTGTACCGGACGGCCACGGCTGAAGAATTACACAGCATCCTAAGCCAGACGCAGGAACCGTGGCCAAGAGGCTACGAGGGGCTCGCCCGGCTGGCGAATAGCCGCCAAGCACCAGGCGGAGAACGATCTGAAGACCCATTCGAGGGCGTCACCACCGTTTCCCAGCTCTGGGAGGTCCAGGATAAACGCACCAGATTTTTCAAGCGCATGTTGACAGCCTGGGCGGAAACACGGTCGAGGACGGGGACGGGACGGGAAGTGGACGCTCTGCTCATGCCTACCTCACCATGGCCAGCGTGCGGGCGGTAAGTCGCCAATATTTCGCGGATTGAATAGTTCGAGGAATACTGACTAGTAAGTATTGTAGACACGAATTCTGTTACGACAATTACACCAGCATGTGGAATGTACTTGACTACTGCGCGACGACCATCCCAGTCACACACGTCTGTCCCACCACAGACGTAAAACCGGATTATAAAACACGAAATGACCTCGAGGAAACAATCTGGAAAGTTTGTAGGTAAGCCAGCTATACTTTGCAGGAGTTTATTCTGACGCTGGTTCGATCCGCCGGAGAGCATGGCGGAGTGTCCGGTTTCAGTGCAGCTGGTCGGTCGGCGACTGAATGAGGAGTATTTACACTAGAGGTCACCAAAATATGCGACCAGGCAATCAATATGTCTGATTGATAAAGTGCCAAGTCTAGTTTGCTACTTTCACTATGTCGGGCATTTTTATCTTTCTTGGAAATACGCAAGCATACGTGTACTTGTGCCACTCCCTCTCACCGCACAAGTACTGGCCGCAGCACGGTTCCTGATAAAATAGATACAAGCTGTAGCCACAGTGTAAATCTTCACAGTATTTCTTCTCCTTATTTTCCATTGTACAGTTCAATGAATCTTTGCACAAGTTAACCGCGTCAATTTACGCAGCAGGTGAACAAGTGATCTCCCTCATACATTAAATCCTTCACAGCCACCAAGGCATGTCCCGCAACAGACTCTTGCGTAATGCTCTGCCCATACTTCGAACACTCCCATTCAGGATCGCGCCATGTGCCTTCTCAAGCTTCACATTCCGAGTTCCACCAGCTGCGAATCGCTTTACCAACCGTACTGTCTGACCAAGACCAACGAAGATAACATGTACCAGTATTCTCATTGTCGCGGTAAAAGACAACGGCAAAGTTGCCCGGAGTGTAAGAATCGAGGGCAACGGCCTGTTCATGCTGTCAGAACTCTACGCAGCAACACCACGCGCGCGGCTTCTCACTTACCACGATGCTGACAGACCGCTCCTCCTCGAGCCACGAAGACAGCTGAGGATAGTGGCCTTTGAGATCGTGCGCCCAGCCCATCACACAGCGAGGCTGCCCCGTCCCGTGTGAAAGCAAATAAGTGTCGTCGTATCCAAATGACATGGCGCGGATACCGCTGCCGTGCTCTTTGATCTTGGCACTCAATGCATCATTCGAAGCCTGCCAGCAAGATGAGCCGTTGAGCCATCGTGCAAAGTGTCTTCCTTGACGGCCGAGGACGCAGAACTCGAGGTTATCCTGTCCCCTGTCCTCAATCTTTGAGCCGAGATACCGGTATGAACTCGTCAATCCGGCGGATTTAGCTAGTTGTGATTGTGAGCGGGCATTCAACAAATTGCTGCAAGAGTGCTTTCTTACACCACTGCTTATCCGTGTACCGTGCGACCCATTCCCCGTCGTCTCCAAACGTGCAGGCATCCAAATAGCCAGAGTCCATCTTGTTGACCGGGAATTCGTGACTTCTGTGCAGAATCGTCAGCCTCGCATCAGAGAGCGAATAGTCTTGCTTACCGCTTGTTTCTAGATTGTCCGGTAAAAGCATAGACTGTCCCGACAATTGCAAGGCAGTATTTTGAATATATTCCAGTTGGTCTTGAGGTAGACTGCGCTGCCTGTACTGTCTGCGTTTGCTCGGCTCTTTGCTGTTTGGGAATTTCATTCTGTCGTGCCTCTTCGTTGCGTACTTGCTGGCTCTTCAGCTCGGCAGTCTGCCGCTCCAGCTCCCGCTGCTTCTTCTTCAGTCGCTTCAACTCATCTTTGTGAGCTTCTCGCTGCTGTTTCATCTCATCCTTCATTTTGACCTCACGCTCATTGCGCTGCGCGAGCAGATTCTCCATCGTTGCTCGTAGCGCTTCGCTATCCTCCTCAATCTTCTTCATTACATCCGCGTATCTGTCACGCTCCTCACGCAGCATCTTCTCGGCCTCGCGGTCGTGCTGGCGCTTTGATTCCTTCATATCCTTTTCAATTCTCCGCTTCTCCGCCGTCCACTTCTGCCGCGCTTTGCCCAGCTCACCCTCAACCTCTTGCCCGGCAGCCGTCTGCCCAAGTTCTCGGCTCTCGTCGACGAGCTCCCTCTGGATTCCTGTCGCTATTGGGCGACCGTGATTGACGAGCTTGTGGATTATGTCCCTGCCCGACTCTGCGTTGTTATAGTAGCGACAGCAAATGCTACCCCTACTTATCATCTTGCCCAAAAATTCGGGTGTTTCCTTCAGCTCACGCTCCCTACCAGCACCGACGGAATCCGAAACCTTGTCCCACATGGTCGTAACGAGCGTCACTTTCTTTAAATAGTCGTCGCCGCACAGCCGCCTGAACATAAGAAGATTCCCCTTTGCCGCACCAGACATGCGAACATCAGTGATGCGGTGAAGATATATAATGCCGTGCAGCAGAATCTTGTTTCGATACGAATCTCCGAGCCATCTAGCGATCTCGGTGAGGACCTGTGTGTCGCTTCTGTTGGTGTCATCAAAGCCTGGAGTATCGATGAGAAATACAGTACGGTCGGGCGTCATCTCGTATGCAAAAACATCCACTTGGGATGTGCCTAGTGCTCGCATTAGACACGTGAGCAGTAGCCAAACATGAGAGCTTGCACTCACAGCCTTGAAGGTTGTCCCCAATTCGCACAGTTTTGCCGGAGCAGGTCGCGATAAAGGAGCTTTTTCCAGCACCAGTTATGCCCATAACTGCGATAAAAACATCGGTTGATCTGCTCCATTAAAATGCCACTCTATGGTAACTCACACCCGATTTGCTTCGACCTTCTTACCTAGGCTGTCGGCCGTTGCGAAAACTTCCCGCCGCTGGTACTTCCCGTTGTCTACGAGGCCGATGAGACAGTGCAACGCCTATGTTCGAGATTAGCAGCGCTTCTGGTACAGGAACTATAGTCTTCCACGTACTGATGTTAGACATTATTCTCTATCGAAATATGAAGAGACAGTGATCGAGCCGATGCGAGTTTGTTATGATTGAGTTTACCTCACCCGTGAATATGGATGGCCTCCTTCGAGGGCATCCTCTGTGTGGAGTCAGGCAGGCGAGCATGCCCGATATTATCAGAAGGCTGCGCCTGCTGCCACGTAACGATATTTGACTGGACCCTTCTCTGACTGTCTCTCGGACGCGGGGTAGAGGCCCAGGCAGATTCAGCCATACAAGCAATGTACGGAGTGCGGGCGCCGTGAGACAGGCAGCCAATTGTCAGCCGGTACTCAGCTGGTATGCAGCTGGCAGGAGTGGCAGGCGCCATGGTAGATCTTCTTCCGATGCCGGGCATTTTCAAGGCGGCATGACGCTGGTGTCTCAGGCTCATACCCAAGACTCGATTTATTTCACAGGCCATATGCGGGCTGATAGGCTTTCTTCAAATTACCCATCATTTCTTACGCGTATCGCGACCTTCTACACAGACTGGCTCTCATGGAGCACCATGGCATTACCGCTGAAGAATGGAACGCCTACGGGAGCCAGCTTTCGGCATTCTTGGGTACGAGGCGTCCGAGGAGAAAGGACAGGTTCATCCTCGTGATGGGCATGACAGGCTCCGGCAAGAGCACCTTCATCTCCAACTATACGAATAAGGAGGTTTCCATTGGCCATGGGCTATACTCTTGTAAGCTTTGTCCTACTGGCTCGTGACTGTCTTGCAGGATAGCCAAAACCACGTCTAGTCTTGACCCTCGACTCCTCGAGCTGTGCTGCTGCCCAACTACACAATGGTTAGCACCTGACTTACCAGGCTATAGGCACTGGCTCGATCAATGTATTTGATTGTACGCAGGATGATCGCCGCATCTTTATAATTGATACTCCTGGGTTCAACGATACCACTCGCTCAGACACTGAAGTCCTTGGCACCCTTGCTGCCTATCTTGGCGCTTCATACGCCAACGGCGTGCGCATCAACGGTGTTATTATCCTCCACCCAATCACCGATAATCGCATGTCGGGCTCCGGAAAGCGAACTATCGATATAATACGAGCCATCTGCGGCTTCACAACTTATGACAACGTCGCGATTGCCACAACCAAATGGCCATCAACGCCATCCCCGCCGGAGGCCGTCATCCTGGAAAGTCGTGAGGCAGAGCTGAAATTCAACGAAGACTTTTTCGGAGATCTTGTGAGTGGAGGAGCCGAACTGTTTCGCTACAGCCAGGCGAGGGCAGGATACTGCGACAGCGAAGCTACATCCGCGCAGGGCATTGTATCGCATCTTATTCGGCAGTCAGATATCCACTCTACGCCAGTCCTTCAACTGCAGCGGGAGATTGTTGATCAAAATTTGGCCATTTCTCACACGACTGCCGGCGAGATGGTCAATGCCGAGCTGACCAGCGCCCGACGCGCTCACGAACGGGAGTTACGGCAGCTCGAGGCGCAGATGCAGAGCTTCCGATCGCAGGCCGACGCCTTCCACAGAAAGGAGCTGGGACAGCTCAGATCATTGCTCGTGGCCAAGCTAGATAAATTTGGCGCGGACCGAAAAATTCTGACCAAGACCATGCAAGACCTGCACGAGGAAGAGCAGAGACTCTGGCAGGCGAGGCTCAAAAGTCTAGAAGAAGAGCTCTCGAGTCAGCTCACAAACAAGGAGCAAGAGCTACGCGATATGGAAGCGTCGCTCCACATCATACGCGAGGATGTAGCCCGGCGGCGTACAGATGACTGCGAAAAGAAACTCGCAGCCTCCGAGGACAAGGAGTACGAACAAATTATCGCGAACGTTCGCCATGAGACCACGACCGCATCTCGGTCCTTAAAGGCGCTACGTGGGCAGACTGGAAATATTATTAATGGCGGAACGAACGGTCTTGTCGCCGGTATTGCGTCTGGAGCTATAGCTGCCGGTAAGTTGCTCATGTACTTGATGACATGATGAATCCTTTTGAAGCATATTGACTGAGGCGCCGATTATAGCCGCGTCTAGTGGTTTGCTTCTCTGCACAGTCATGTAATGGATTAGCTTGTCCATCAGACGGCGCGAATCGGTAGAAGCTCGAGAATTAGCCTGCAGTACCAGAATGACAACTTACTTTCCAAGGCCAATTCAAGGAAGCAGAATACAAACAGTCTATTCGGTGGTTGCAGTTGTTGTGCTGGACGTTGTGGCGCTGTTGTGCTAGTGTGGCTGTTGTGGCGGATTTCCTTTTTCTCGCAAAGCGGGGCTGCTAATTCTTCTCCTTTTAGGGCCTAATCGCGAGTTACTAAACTTACTAAATATAAAGATTAGGTATATAAGTGGGTTAAGAGAGGCACCTTAGTGATATAAATGCACTGAGATGCTACAGATGAGGGGCAAGGCGGCCCGACAAGTGACCACAGGGCGCTTACGAGGGCGCAGGAACAAAGGAACTAGTCACGTGACTAGCATCACTAGGGATCACGGTGATCCAGCATTAATCCAGGATCACTACCCGTGCCACGCCCCCTCTCTCGTGCCTTAAGAGGGTACTCCCCACTTAAACCATTATATTACTTAAACTATTATTTTTAAAGATAGAATCAATAATAACTTAATAATATAATACCTACTAAATAATACTATTATTTTTAAAGGAAAATAATTTTTCTAATAGCCCTACCTTCTATCTATCCCTAGTAACTTTTATAGTCTATTTAAAGACCTTAATATACACCTATTATACTATAAACTAGTATTATAAAACCTTTATTATAATCTCTTCTTCCTCTTTCTACTCTATATTAAATATTATACTATATACTTTATTAATTATAAGGGTGCCTTTATACTATATATAATAATTCTTTTTTTACCTCTTTTACTAGAATTATTATTACTAAGTAAATTCCTTATATATAGTCTTTTAAAGTTAAAGAGATATAGTAGTATAATATAGAGCGCCTTTAATTAGTCTATTTACTTTATTTAATAGCCTTCTATTAAAAGGACTATTCTTTAATTCCTTTTATACTAATTTTATTAAGGAATTTACTTACTATAAAGTATAAAGAGTATTAAAGGGTAAAGAGCTACTTAATTTATTAATAGCTAAAGGTAATAGTGTTTATAGTTATATAATCTATACTAGTATAATAGCTAGGTTATAGGGTTAAATTCTAGTCTTTTTAAAAGTAAAATAATTTATACTTTTATTAATACTTTCTTATAAACTTTTTAAATTAATTTAAGAAATTCTAGCTTACTAATATATAGTATACTATTATAAAGAGTAGTATCTAAGTACTTCTAATACTAGTACTTTAATAGTTAAAAAATCACTATATTAAGTAACTATAATAAATATATTAAATATAGTAGTATTTTCTAAGAAATTATATTATTATCTTTATAAGTTCTTATAAATTTAATTATATAATAAGAGCTATAACTATTAAGAATAAATAAGTAGTATATACTTAATTAGTACTAATTTATATACTTAATAAAGTAATATAGTAAGTAGAAGGTAATTTTTTTATTTATAAATCCTATTATAAAGACTAATATTTTTATTACTAGATTTATTACTTTATTAGAATACTATTATACTATATATATCTTTATAACTATAATAATAAAGGCTAGGATAAAGATACTAGTAGTAGAGATAGTCTCTATAATAGTAACTAATTTATAATTTTTAGGGCTTAAAAAGTATTATTTATAGTACTTCTTTATTATTATAAATTAGTCCTTTCTAATACTAATTTAAAAGCCTAACTTATCTATATTCTATATATCTTTAGGGTTATTACTATTATTCTAAATAACCTAATAAAGTAAATAAAAATATTTATTAATATTATTTAGATCTTTTAAAGCCTTCCTCTTAGCCTTAATAATTTACTAGTATTATTTTATATAACTATAATACTAAATAAAGTATAATATCTAGTTCTTTCTAATAATAAGAATATTATTAGGCTTTAAGTGTATTAATAACTACTCCTTTAGTATTAAGTTTATTATATTAGGAATAAATTTAGAGTATATAATAAAGTTTAGACTATTAAGATAGTTAAAATAAGTATAAATTATCTTTTTTTCTATTTTAGTTAATATAGTATTAATACTATAGTACTTAATTAATAAATTCACTCCTTTAATACACTTAATAAATATTATATATAGGATTATAAATTTCTTTATAATAAATATAATTAATTACTTAGGATTTTTATTAATAAAAGTAAGAGTTTTAATTAATTTAGATTCTAAATATTAATATAGTATCTTTATTAGTTATTAAGTTACTATTATTAATATAAGAATAATATATTATATTAATAGTTTAAGTGATTTAATAGTTTAAGTAGAGAGTACCCTCTTAAGGCATAAGAGAGGGGGCGTGGCACAGGTAGAGTGGGTGGCAACAAGTATTCAACCCCTTCGTAGTAGCTTTTTCTAAAACCTACTAAAGTTAATATATTCTTAGAATAACTTTATATTAAATACTATATTAAGTAGTTTTATTATTATTATATATTTTTTATAAGGTTATTCTTTTAAAAGGGTTTCTAATTCTAATTTTACTATAATATATTAGCCTTTTATTATCTATTTATAGTATACTATAAGTTATACTTATTT